GCGAATGTATGAACATGTATGCTTGAACATTGCTTACTGTCTACGCATTTATTCAGGCTGCTAACCTTACTACTAACCGCTTAATTGATTCGATGATTCATTCATTTCACTATGTATATATATATGTCCATGTTATTCATGTTTATTGCTCTTTCTCGCTTAATTGTACTCGCTTACTCGTACTCATATTCGCTGACTCGCACGCTTGCCTGCTTGCCTTTCGGCACAACTCTTCCATGCTTGCTTAACGCACCTGTAATTTTGGATATCTGTTTGTGGTCTCATAATAAACATAATCAACACTTCGTATTCGCCTTCTGATTAATATGCCGTTGTGGCGTTATCTAGTGACGGTTATCAAGACGGAATGTATACGAAGTTTAGGGATCATATTGATGATACTTTGTTTCATTAAGGGCAGTTCAACCTAGAGTGCCGTGCAGACAACCCGATCGTAGCCTACTCAAATAAAAGCTCTAAGAGGAGGCTCGACCATCACGTATGGACCTGTGACTCATCGTCTTTCATCTGAAGCAGCCGTACATGATGCTCGTTTCATATCTTCCCACTATTATTATTGTTATTCTTCTATCTCTGCTCGCCTCATCCGCTGTCACCCAGTCTATATTTTATTTTTAGACTTTTGGCTTTTCACGTTTTTTGCATCAACTTTTCATCCGTTCACTCTGACTGTCATTTTCTCTTTGTTCCTCTCCACTTTCACTATACAAGTTTTACTTTGTAAAGTGGTAGCTGCTAGACCTAGCAACTCCACTGCACTGGAACACTACTACGCTACGCTACATATAGACGTTGTAGCACAAAGTAGTGTCTTTGATAACCTTTTTTACATTAGACGCTAGTCTCATGCAACTGCACTTGAGTAATCTAGTGATTTCTTATATTTGTCATTACACTTTTAATCTGATAATTAGATCGGTATCAAGTGGCACATGTGATAAGTAAACTGACTGCTTCCAACAACGGAGTTGTTGTGGTGTACAAGGTCGTTTATGCATTCAACCCGAATGGAGCAGTAAATAGTAGTCCTATCAATCACCATAGTCACGACAGAAAATACATAGGGTTATCTTTCTTGATGTTTATTGTAACAATTTGTTGTCATTGTTGAGAAAAGGAATTATTATCATACAGGATTTCGTTAGTGTGGATTAGTTTTCCATTTATTTCTTCAGACCAACTGAATTAGTATTTCTTTATTTATGTTTGACGGTACAAGTATTTTATTCAACAGCTTTTACAATTAGAACTGAACACAAACGAAAAGTAGTTGAAAATTAGTGTGCAACTTTTGATTCATAACAGATGTACCGTTTTATTTTGACTAATAGCTAATTATTAGCTTCATATCTTTGCATTAATGTTTATGATGATTCTGATAATTCCATTAAATTATCATATTTCTGTTTTTAACTCTTTACCGCAGAATTGGAAACAATTTAGAAAAGTACTGGTTCCTAATAAATTGATTGATGAAGATTTTTACAGAGGAAAATCAGCTTGGTTGATCATCTTTTTAGTTCCCTATTATCAGAATATTAGGTGACATAGAATTGTGTAGATTTGCACACGATACGGTCTACTTCCATTTGTAAGTTAAACGAATGTTGGTTACTAGTTTAGGGGTTGTGGAGAGTATTAAGTTTTTGATTGAGATTATGAACCGATTGATGTTAGACCAACTTTAGAAACCTGGAAGCACTGGACGGCCGTTGCGTCCTATTGAGGGACTCCCCAGCAGTGCGCATCCACGATCCCGCTCGCGGGATTCGAACCCAGGGCCTTCGGTCTCGCGCGCGAACGCTTAACCTGCTGGACCACTGAGCCGGCATCCAATGGTGATAGTGTCGAGCTGAACATAGATTAATTGCTTACTCAAAGTAAATCATTGATTGTATAGATATTGGAGTGTCAACTACAGGTTTTTCCGTACATATATAAAGTAAAATATTGTTTTGTTAGCCAATTAGGGTATAGCACAATTATTTAGAACTTATAGGATGATTATTGTAAATGAAATGCCAAATTTAAACATTTCGCCTATTTGTTCGTTTACTACGTGCATAAATGGATTTCCTTTTTTTCGGATTTATACAGTTTTCAATAATTAAAAGTAGTGTGTCTTACCCTTCAGAAAATAAACTAGAAACGATAAACAGTAAACATCAAGGTAAACACTTTGTATTACTCTGTAAGTGATGTATTTGTTTGTATTAAAATCATAGAAACTGGTTCGAAAAAAAATATACATTTCTCGTATACAATTATGTCGCCTATTCTTTTTAAATCAAGAATTATTCATTACATGTTTGCCTAATTTACTTTTTTTTATAGAAGAAAAAAGTGTCTTTCTGATGATTCATTGTCGGTGTACCCATGAAAATGTCATAATAGGTGACCTTTATACAAGTCGTAAGATCTCGTTGAATAGAAACATTTTAAATGATTTAGTCTTTGCTTTTTAGTTTCCAGTAGTTTTCATGTTTTCATGTTTTATATTCTATTTGCTAGTGAATAAGTTAAGGATATACTATGAACAATTTATCAATGTTACATTGACTTATGTAAATAAAGATAATTTTGTAAAATGTTACTTCGTCTAGGTGACTTGGATTAAATAGTATTATAATGAAATTACAGTTAAGAAAGTCATTGATCTATTCAATTGAATAAGTCAGAAGTGAGGTTTACTATTTACGAATACTACCGAAGTTGTCATAAAATATCAAGAATTAAAAATCTTAACCGATCAAGTTTCATGACAAGTTATTAATATTTTGGCTTCAATTTAATAAACAATTGAGTTAAAGTCTAAATAACTCTACTCTTCTATCCTTTTATTCAAATACAATGTATGTTCTGTTAACAAGCACTTTAAAAAAAAACACTAGGCATATTCTGGTTTGACTACAACTGAAATCAGTGCTTACTTGGAAAAATATTTTTCATTTATGATAATGCAGTACCTAACTTTTTATCAATAAAACACATAGACGGGGATGTATTCTAATTGGTTTATTAAATACGTCACTATAATTCGAAATTCTTTAGCGTATTTAACAGAAATGTTTACTACTATTGCTAGCATTGTAGATTATATTAGAGTGATTGAATGTATGTATGTTGGCCAAATAATTCAAAACATAAACTTGTATATAATATAACTAATTAGGATTTCAAAACGCCCACGAAGTCAAGATGTAGTTTGGAATAAAAAAGTTATAAAAATATTCATGAGAAACAGAATTTCCATTTACTTCAATGAAAATATGTACACATACTAGTATACTGGAATTTGAGCTAGATATTTCAGGGTAAGAATTAGGCGGAATTCGAACATGTGGCGCCATAGCTGAATGTCAGGTATCCTAACCATCAAGCCCCCCAAATGCCCTGGTACGGCTGAAAGTGGAGAGAGTCAGCTATCCCTCTCGAATCGCTCTTACATGGCCACGCGTTTACAGCCACTGTTAGCGAAGTCCTACTCAGTGCCTTCTCGAACCGAGGGTTTGTCTATGAAATTGAGATGACGAAAAGCGAATGTCCGGCGCTTTAACCAGGTTGGTGAACACGGAGAGTCCACCTAGGGTATATAAAAACACCCTGATTCCAGAATTCTGGTGCCCATGGGCTCCAGAATTCTGAAGGAACAAATGGCATGTGAACTAACCGTTGGTCACCGGCTACCATGGAACTGTCTCCTGATGTTGCTAAATTGTCTGTGGATCAGATCTTTAGGCCGAATGCTCCAGATGCGGCCCCGTAATAAAACCACATGCTTCGGTTTGGGCACCCAGGCAGTACTACAGCCCACACATAAATCAAGTGACTTGTGTGGCGCATATGCATTCGGTGCCCCTTTGTATTAATATTTTTGTGTTCAAATGAATAAGTAAAATAAACTAACAATCAAGCAACTTCCAGCTAGAGAGGGCCTAGAACAAACTATTAAATGATGGATTGAGGATATTTTATAAATATTATTATATTGAATTTATTTTTATATTTTTATTCTGGTAAGATGAATTCGTATAAATCTCCAAGTATAGAATTGACAAAGAATATTTTTCTTAGAAATATCCACTTGGTACAGCTACTCATTTTGAGTGGACGTTTTTACCATACACCTTTTAATACGGTGAAAGTTATGAGTAAATATAATTATTTGAATAATACACTATTAAACGTATTGTATAATAATTTTTAGGAATGTTAGTTCTTATCACATTTAAATACAGTGGTAACGTCTCTGACTGTGAAGCTGGGTGACACGAGATCGAAACCGCCAGGGAGCACCAGTTCCCTCAAGATTACAGATACACCTTGCTGACGAGTGCCAAGTAACACGAAACCTAGGTCCAGGATTTAATGTTGAATTATTTCAACATAGTGTACGCAATATGGAATCACGTAGACTGGTAGCCACATTGCAACTTAGTCAATAGGATTCGATCTGCACTAAGAAGGACCTGACATACATGACACTGACCACCATCCAATGATCAATCAATCGTAAATACAAAAAAGTTTTATTAATTGATAATCGATTACAGGATTTAGTAAAAGTGATCAATTAACCAAAACATCTAAGTATAACTTATTATAAATTTCATCATATTATACTTAAAGTTACATAATTAAATTATGTAAATCAGATAAACTACCAGATTTCACTTGATTTGAACAATCAGAACATGATATCCTATATTGATTAGTCAATAGTTAATTATCATTAAACGGAGTATTTACAGAATGATTTCATATTATGAGAGCAATATTAAACTAGTAATTTTTCTAATTCACATTGAAAACAAGGATAAAAAAGTTGATCAATTATTTTTTGGTGGAGTTTCGTTCTCTAAGCTGGATGGTTTGATCGTGGAGCTTTCATCGTTCTTGTGAACGACATCATCAACACAAAGTTGATAAATTATACTTTAATTATGATAATAATAATAATAATAAAACTCATAACTTACTTTCTTAACGTCGATTCCAGATTCAGTTAGTAATTCATCTACAGTACGATAACCACGAAAATTTTTCTCTTCTAAATCTGTGAATTTTCTATCATGATTTTTATTACGACAAACATTCAATAACATTGGTATAGTAATTTGTCGTTTATGACTTTTCATTAATAAATTTTGTAATTCAAATGGCATTTTTTGAAATGCTTCTTTAGCTTTCCATGATTTATATACAATTTTACATTGATCATCGTCAGAGTCACCACTTCCATCTGCATAGTAATCTTTTCGTTTACCAATATCATTCAGCATATCTTTAGATGTTTTTCTGTCTTGCTTCGATGAAACATTTTCTTTTAATATATCGTCAATGTCTGTATGCTTTGAAAAGTAAGAAGCTGACATTGCAGAACTTCGACGTCTATTTGCTACCCCGTTCTCATATACTGGTGCACTGTTAACTGAAGATGTGAGTGTGTCTTGGCGTAAAGTAGCCTCTGAATCTCGAGAATATCTTACTGCATCAGATTTTCCACTTGGCTGTCTATTTTGTGATCGCAATTTCACAATATCGGAACTATTGCTTTTCGGTGGCATATCCCATAGCTGAGAATTATCCATTTCACCAGCATGCGGGGGATCTGCCTCTTGGAGAGAATTCTGCTGACGCCAACTATTAACCTTTTGTATTGGGTCCTGAGAGATAATCGTCTCAAACTTTTTAGCTATTGGCAATTTTTGTGCAGATTGGTGGTCTTTATTTTGTTGTGCATGAAAATCTGACTTGTAATTAGCTTCTTTTTCGGCTAAACTTGCGGCAATTTGTTTTCTACGCTTGATTTCTTCTTCTAATTCACGATTTTTTATCTCGTCCTTTTCCCATTTAGCTTTACGTTCCAACTGACGTAGACGACGATTTTCACGTTCGATTTCTAGTTGAATTTGTTTTTTCCAATCTTCTTCAAGCATTTTTCCACGTTCTAAACGTTTTTGTTCACTAGGTGTAATATTATTAGTAGCTGGGCTTGATGAACATGGTGGTTGAGTTTGTGCACGTGACATGTTTAAGTAATCAACACCGTAAACAGACTCTCTCCATCCACCACGACCAGGTTTAGGACTCTGTGTTTCGTCTTCATTACCTGATAATTGTCTTAAGTATCGTCCACCGATGTTTATACGTCGAGGACCACTAACTTTTTCTCCATTAGGTAAGGGAGATGAAACTTTAGTCGGGGGTAGAATTATATCATCACCAGTTTGTGTATAATTATGTATATTTACTGGACGAGGCATTTTAATTTCTATCTTTTCTGATTTTGTCGTAGATATACCAGTTAATTTATTTTTGTATTGAGAACTTTCTTCAGTGGAAGTAGCTCTACTTGTAACAACGATATATTTTGTTGAACTATTATTATTTGATTCATCTATTTCATCTTCTTCTTTGACAATTGAAGAAGACAAACTACTAACTGATGGTCGATGATAATTACCAGTTGATTTGGACAAATTATTATAATCCTTTACAGAACCAGAATCTCGTGATGATGATATAGATCCACTGGGATAGCGACCACTTGAGAAACTTGAAAAATTTGATGAATAATCTGTTCCACTATTTGAATGACGTCCAGAACCATATGTATAATCATTAATATCGTTTTTACCAGTTATAGAACTTGCACGATTTTTTCTAGAACCATAAATATCTGATGTATAACTTGTGCCAAAATTTGGATAAGATGTTGTCCCCAGTGATTTCGTTGAATTATACTGTACTGCTGGACTTGAAACACTACTTCCATAGTTTTTATTTGATTGATATCCATTTGAATAATTGGAAGTTAGCTAAAATTAAATAATAAAAAAATCAATAAACAATAAAAATAACAAATTTTATTATTAAATAAATAACTAACAACCAATTGTTTTTCTGTATTTATTTAATAAAATATAATGGAAAGTGAATTTTATATATCATCTGAAAAGCCGTTAAATATCAGATAGTACTAAATGGACGTTAAGTAATTCATTGCAATTTCTTATTGAAATGTTGGAGAAGATTTGTAGTTTTGTGGTTTTGATAGAGTTTTGTTCTCTGAGCTAGATGGTCTAGTCGTAGAGCGTAGTACGCTTCTCGTTGTTCGAAAATGGGGAAATTTTGCCAAAAAGCAAGCTTTCACTCGAGAACAACTGTATTTTCTCCATGAGTGTCTTCGTCAACAGGTCCTACCAACAAATGTAGGATACAGACCTCTAATCAACTGCCTATTGCGATGGAGAATAGCTGAGAAAAGTGGATAAGAAATACACGATCAAACCATTCAACTCAGAGAACAAAACTCCATCAAAACAATCTCTTGTGTATATAATTAAGAAAACAGACTAAAAATAAACTCAAAATAGATAACTTATTAAAAGATTAAAAACTAGTTTATAAAATGTAATAATCAAACGTAGCTAACTTAAAAAAGGGTGTGACACTTTACCTCATATTTATTCATCAAGATATTTAATGTATAGTCCAGCAAAACTTAACTCAATAAGATGACCAAATAATCAAAAATTGATAATAGGTATTGTAAAAAGAGATTGCTATTATAGTATTGAGAAGAATAGTAAGCTGTAAGATCACCTAAATTATTATTAATGTGGTTACAGGTAGTTGGCAGATAACCTTCTTAAAAATCGTAACCAATATAGTCATTGTTATGTTTGTCTAATCGTTAGTTCTGATTAATAATTGTAAATATCTTGTTCTCATAAGAAGTCATTGCTAGGCCTAAAAACTCAGTGGTAACATCCCAAACTGACACTGGGCAACAAGTGATCATACCTTCCTTGAGAGTGGTAGTCCCCAATAGATTATAGGTACTAACTAGCATGAAACATAGGTCCAGTATCCACGTTACAACTTGTTTGATATAATTTGATCGAAACTGTAGACTAGATGAAAATGACTTTGATTACTGGTTAGTGGTCAATCAATCTAACCTCAAATAGGAAAAAAATGAATTAGAAATTACCAGAACGCGTTGAGATAAGAGAACAAATCATTTCTTGCTTAAGCATTTCTAACTTTTTGTCGTCAATAATTTAGATTCAAACCATACAACATTGTATTCTTATCCTAAAAATGTACATAAGATTAATAGGTCTATAGTCTTTTTATTCTATTCCTTAAACTATTAGAATAAAGATTAAAATCAGAGACTGATGGTTTTCTCGAGAAGAAACAATGCCCTCATGTAATTGAACTGAAGGTTTTGAAGATGTGATTGAAATAATTTATCCGCTTCTCGCTTTCGCACTAGTGTTGTCTACAATATTTTCTCTCTATTTCACTAACTTACTTAAAGAACATTTTGGAGGTGTTTTCTTTACTGATCTAAACGGGTTAGTCATGAAGATTTTATTGTCGTTCTAGGCAATATCATTGGCACAGACTCATCACTCAACAGATATCTTGAAATAATCAGCCATTAAGAAAAATGATAAACAACACCAAGGTTAAGGATCAGCCCAGTGAAGGAAACAGCTGAAATAAATTTACAAATAATGACAACTTATTTATGGAGATAATTAATCAAAATTTATGTTGTCAAAACAATCTGTTAATCATAAAAACAGTAATCCTATAAGTTCACTCCGTTTTTATTTATGCTCTGATAATGTTGCCTAAAATATAAATGAAAGCTTCACAAATAAACCATCTAGTTCAATAAACTTGACATTCCTAAAATCTTCCTTCTGATCTACAAATATGGCTCATCTTTTTAAAAGACATTTAAACGAAATAGATTTTTGAAATGTTAATTCAGACTATGAGTATTTTAATCATCTCCTTCATGAATGAAATAAGTATTAATTCTCTTGCTATTGTTTAATTGAATCTTCCCATTAATATTTAGGAGTGCAATTGATCAGTCTCTTATTGGCATATGTGTATACTGTGCGTATTGCCTTAATTCAAAAGCATTATAAGTATAGATGGATAGTGGCTGGCAGTGGAATCCAGGACATGCGTTTATTTCTATTTAAGAATTAAGGCAATATCGAGGTGATAAGCACAGGATGCATATATGTCAATTAGAAACTAATCCAATGTAGTCCCCATTTTGATTAATAATTAGAATGTAATCACATATATGAAAAGAACTTGAAGACATAACAAATCACATACTGAGCATAGTTCATGTCAATGGAAAACAAGAATATCGTATATTATACATGCGAGAAGAGAAAAGATATACTACATTAAGTAATCATTACATTGGATCAAAACGAAAGTAACCTTAAACAAAACTCATAATGAGTAAATCAATCGAAGAATGACTTTTATCTCCATCATATCACCACTAAACACATGATTTACATATGAAACAAACAAAATACCGAAAGATATATATTTCCTATATAGTTTCAATAAAATACAATTGTTACTTGGAAATAGACTAGTTTATTTTATTATATCATTTAACTATGATTATGTTGTTTTTCTCTCAGTTCAATCAACTTTAACTAACATAATACAGATATCAATATTAGGGTTGTAGAGATTAATAAGTTTTTTATTAAGATCATGAACCGATTGATGTTAGGCCACCGTTGGAAACCTGGAAGCACTGGACGGCCGTTTCGTCCTATTGTAGGACTCCTCGGTGGTCCAGTAGGTTAACCGTTCGCGCGCGAGACCGAAGGCCCTGGGTTCGAATCCTGCGAGCGGGATTGTGGATGCACACTGCTGGGGAGTCCCACATTAGGACGAACCTGACGTCCAGTGCTTCCATGTTTCCAACGGTGGTCTAACATCAATCGGTCCATGATCTCAATAGTACAAATATATTTATGGTGTTTCTTTTCTCCTTTTTTTTCTGGAAAAGAAAAGGGAATATAATAATGCTACATATGACACAATGACACAATCTAGAAATAACTAACCGAAAAAATCTAAATTTGGAATGGTATAGTATTCTTCATAAAAAATGTAATTGAACAGATTATCCTATAGATAGTTAAGAAACCATAATAAACTATAGATCATAATGTTTTGTTAAGAATACCAACAAAATATTTAATCTAGTATTTATCAATTTAAGGGAAAATATAATTTTATTCTGTTTTGAACACATTTTCTAAGGTGTAAACAACTTTGAATTAGGACAAATAACAAAAAAGAATTGGAAATCAGGAATAAACATACTTTAACAAAAATAGTCAGAATATCAGATTAAAAATGTAACACTCAATGAGACACGAAATTTAGAGAATTAAAAAGTTTTAGACTATATTTGAGATTAAAACATATATGGATGTAGAAAATGTACCACAATGAAGTTAACTCTATAGATAATAATAATAATAATAATAATAATAATAGTGGGTAGTAGTGAAATCCAGGATGAGCGTTTCGTCCTATTTGGGACTCGTCGGCTGAATGTTTCCGCAGAGTTGATGTTCACTCTTGGACTCGAACCCAATACTGTTTGCTTTAAACGTCATCACGTTATCCACTTAACTACTGAGTCCTGATAGTCACTTGTTTGTCTAATGGGGTGGTTTAAATTCACTTTATGTTGTTTGTTTGTATTTTCCGATTGTTGTTTAGGACTACAATTGATCGGTTTCTAATTGACGTATATGCATCCTGTGCGTATTGCCTCGATGTTTACTAATAATTTCACTTAATAATTATAATAATAATACCGACTAATGAATGGATAAATACATGGTTGAATAGGAATTCAGTGAGTGAAAGCCAATAGAATGGTGTAAAACAAGAGTAGAAGATGAGTGGAATTTTTCAGTTTATTTTAAACAAAGCGAATAATGATTACATGGGATAAAAAGACTATGCTTGTTGAGCATATCATCTGCAAAGTAAAATTTCCAGTCTCCTAATTGTTTCCTAGCTATTTCGAAGGTATTAGTATCATCATCATCATCATCATCATCATCATCATCATCATCATCATCATCATCATCATCATCATCATCATCATCATCATCATCATCATCATCATCATCATCATCATCATCATCATCATCATCATCATCATCATCATCATCATCATCATCATCATCATCATCATCATCATCATCATCATCATCATCATCATCATCATCATCATCATCATCATCATCATCATCATCATCATCATCATCATCATCATCATCATCATCATCATCATCATCATCATCATCATCATCATCATCATCATCATCATCATCATCATCATCATCATCATCATCATCATCATCATCATCATCATCATCATCATCATCATCATCATCATCATCATCATCATCATCATCATCATCATCATCATCATCATCATCATCATCATCATCATCATCATCATCATCATCATCATCATCATCATCATCATCATCATCATCATCATCATCATCATGTGAATTGTCTTTGCACTTATAAAGAATCCTCTTTATTGTGAAATAAGTAATTATAAATAATATTTTGTACAGTTGTATAACTACACTGCGGTATATATATTCATGAAAACTAGCGGTTAATACATTTTCATCAATTAATCTTTCTTTGATGTAATATTCTTTAAAAGAAAATCCAACTGATTTTACAAAATAAATTAAAGTTGAAATTTGAATGACTAAGCTAAACTATTCATCTATTCATCTACAATAATATATAGGTATCATCGAAGGTTTTCACTCGAATCATTTTCATATAGAGATCATTAAGAAATATTTAATCTTATTTCTTATAGAAGAATTTACGATGGATTAAATTGGTGATCATATTATTTCTGTTTATGAATGGATCATTTTATTGCTAAAAATGCTATGACTATTGATTGATTGTTTCACCT